GGGGCTAGGAGTGCCAGCTTCCTTTCTGCCTCCCTACCTGCTGGTCTGCCTGTGGGTGCAGGCCCCTGATTTAGCATCCAAGGTCCATCAAATCTATGAGGACTTCAGGATTCTCTGGAAACAACAATGGACCTGCTGGCTTTGGGGTGGGTGCACAATGGGCCCCTAGTTCCCACCCAGCACCCCTCAAAGTCCCTCTTCCTGTGTTCTCTTCCTCACTGCAGCTCACTGTGGTCGTTTTGTTTTGCTTTTTTCAGATTTAGCAGTTTTTCTGTTGCATGAACTACTACTACTGAGTAGTTCAAGTTTTTCTGTTGCATGAACTACTACTACTGACTTCTCTGTTCTTAGGGTCGACTCCAAGCCCGTCGTAAGCCTGGCCCTGTTCACTTCCCCTCTCTGCCATCATGCCTCCATCGCCTGACCCAGTCTGCCTTCCCTCCAAGAAGGTAAGCCTTTGGGGCTGGCTCATCAATCTGTTTTCTGCTGCTGTCTGAGGGCCTAACGCAGAACCTGGCCTAAAAAGGGACAAGAGAGATGTGGTTGAAAGCTTGGGAGAGGCAGGTGAATGCAGGTTCAAGTCCCAGCTCCACGACTAGTGGAGGGCTCAGTACAAAAGATTGGACCTCTGCTGTGCCTTAAATACCGAACCCAGAAACGAAACAATACATTAGTGACCAAAACTGGGCCTAGAATTGAAAATCAGTGATACTCTACTAAAAGGAACTGTCCATTTTACCGAAGTTTTAAAAAAGAAAGGAAAAAATCTAAATGTCATGGGTAATCACAAGTCCTGCTTGAATTTTAAGTGGTTTGACTGTCCCCCAGGTGGGCGGTCAGTGACTCCTCTGACAGGTGGGTAGTTAGATGCCTAGTGAAGGCAGAGAAAGCAAGCAACTAACACTTCACAATCTGGAAGACTAAGATGTCAATGACCATTTATTATTATTATCACTATCATCGAATAATTAAAAAATCAAGTCTTATAGGTCATATTTTTAAAATAGGCAGCACAGAGAATGATATTTAATATTTTCAGGGGTACTTTCTGTTTATTTTGTTAATATAAAACTTGGACATGAACATCAGTCATGTTTACAAAAAGGCAAAATGGACCAGAATATAGAAGATTAACTTAATCCTAAGAACATTAAGGCGGAAAAAGAAACCCCACATTGCACACCACAAAGTTTACAAAATGATGGGACTTTGGGGCAGAGGTCTTCCAGCAAGATACAGTGTCCCAGAGTTGCTAAAGACATTATTTTAAAGGAATAAATGACCAAATCCTCAATGACAAAATTTTCCTAAAACCAGTCTGCATGAGAGCCTCTTCCCCTTTCCCACTGCCTGACAGCCTTCACCCAGCCTGAGATGATGGTGAAGTCTGAGGGTTGATTCCAATAACACGATCACCAGTGCCACTGCCTGGGCACCGGGAGGGTGTCTGCTCACATGAGGTAAGGAGAAGGAAGGCATCAGAAATGAGGCTACTGGGGGCCACCTGGGCTGTTCCAAGTGACATTTTGAAAAAGCATGTTCCTTGCAGACTAGAATGGAGGGATATGGCTTTTGCACAATGCCTGTCTCCTTTACCTTGTCTATTCCCAAAGACAGCTTGCTATTCTGTGAGCGCCCCATGAGCACGAAACAAACACTGACTTAAGAAGAAAGATACAGGGCTGGGCCCTGGGACCCTTTCCTTTCTGTTTCTCTTCCTTCCTTCCACTCCATCTATCTATTCAAGAATTAGAATTCCATTCACCCAGCCTCCATCCATCTATCCATCCCCATCC